TAGTCAAATCTCAATCAATGCAAGACATGTAAGGTATTTAAATTATGCAGAGGTGTAAAAATGTCCAATTGTGACATTCTTGCAACTAGTTTAAAAATGTGAGATTTTGGTAATTACATTATGACAAAATGACATCTGGTATAATTTCCTCATTATATATTATAATGTGAAGGGAAAATTTCCTTCAACCCTACAATTAAATATTAGTTTTCATGAACAAGAGAGTTGAGTTTAAAATTCAAATTTCATATGATAAATAAAATTATTGTAATTAATAAATTTAATTAAATCTAACAATTTCATTTTCAAACCTTATCATTTTCCCAATCCCTTTCTTTCTCTACCGCCTAGCCACTTGCCCTACCTTTTAAACTTTTCTCTTTCGCTGTCCTCACTCTTCCACCGATCCCTCCGACGACAAACCTCATTCCTCCACCACGCTTCCTTCTCTCTTTACCTACCCACCCGCCTCACCCCTCACCCATCTCCAGCATCAGCAACCGCGTGACACTTCTTAAGTCGGTGTGTGGCAGTGCTCACCGCTACTTGCAGCACTAGTGACGGCGAGAAGCTTCGCCGCCACCGGTGTTGCTGCAAGCTAGGTTGATTTTTTTCATTTCACAAAGATGTTGTTCCAATCTTATTGGGATCGATGTTGTTTCACGAAGACGTTGTTCCGATCTTTGATTATCATCATACCGATAGGTTTGGAAGTAGTGCCAATCGACAAAGGCATCGTCGAATTTCATTCTTCTCTTGTTCCATTTTGCTTTCTGCTTTGCATATAGGCAGAGAAATGGTTCCACTATGATTCCATTCCCTTTTCTACTTTGCAAATAGGGAGATAAATTGTTTTAGTTTTTAACGCCTGATTTTTGTAAAAAATTCTTGATCACCTGATTTTTCAAAAAGCAGGGACACCTAATTGTTGTATGTGCAAGTAGACAAACGCTGATTCCTAGTAGTGGTGTGTACAGTGGTAGGTTATGGTGAGGTGGTGTTATTGATGTGATGTGCATTGTGTGCAGTGGTAGGTTATGGATTTGTCAAGGATGGTTTGCAATGTGGATGGTTGTGGGTATGTTGTTTATCAATTTTGTCTGTTTCAACATAATTTCATTTTCAATCATGTACAAAGAACATGGTTCTTCTTAATTGGTTCTCCGGGAAAGATGATTATAAAGCTTTGGGGAATTTGGCCAGATAGCCGGGTTCAATGAAGAAATTGGACAAATGGCCTTTGACCCATGTTTTATAAAAAAAAAAAATGAAAATATAATAAAATGACAAAATT